ATCGCCGATTGTGTGCATTCTCACGCAAATACTCCATCCAAGCATTACAGACAGCTAGGTCTACAAAATGAAATATCGCCCTCAGCGTCCATTTCTTTGACCTGATCTTGGTGCGGTACAAGCTCAAGAGAAAGTCCATCTTGTCCACGCCTCCCATACTTCGATTGTACTTGGCGATGACCTCCGGCTGCTTCACTAATATGTGTTCACGCTTAGTTTCGTCCCACCTCCTGACATCCTCTTCATTACCAATGCCAACAAAGTTGGACGCGACCGACACATCATTGTTGTCTTTCCAGATCACTACTACAATATCATCACTTGTGACGTATTCAGCAGAGTATCGCCGCGGCTTTTTGTTGATCACCTTTTTGGATTCAAGAGGGCACTTTCCCAGCCTGTTTTTTCGCACAGTTCCAGCTGCCAAAATTCTGTGCTCTCGTAGCTGGCGAAGGAGAGGAACTGATATAATGTAGTTATTAAAGTTAAGTTGGTAATTGCATCCATAAGAAATTCTTTTAGATAGATGCAAGACAACACCAGAACAAAGACCGTATTCTTTCTTCAGGTCGGCGGGAATCGTGTTTTCTTCCTGGTATATTGCAAAGTCGTAAACCACTGATACCACACAGAGCGAACACTTTTATGCGCCAGGGAGATGGCTTGCCTTTCACATACTGCTTTATAGAAAGCTGGCCTTTAAAAGGGTTCATTTGCTCGTCGACTGAGCATTCCTGTTCAAGAGCCAGCTCCAAGCATCGCTTTCGTATGAGCTCCAGAAATGGACGCACTTTCCACAGGCGATCTTCACTGTCAAATCCAGAATCTTCTAGAACAATGTGAAGATTATTTCGAAGCTTTAAAAAGCGCTTCTCCGTCATAGTTTCGCTGATGAGAGGAACCTTCATCATTGGGTTCTAATACAGCCTTACCCGAGGTAAGTGAACGACGCCCATCAGGATATGAATACCGAACAGCTTTCTCATTTCAGTGGCTGTGGTATTCACATTATGCAGAGTTGTTTTCACACTATATTGATTCGTCTTTTCTGCTATTACTCTGAAAATGGACTTGGGCACGTACCTCGAAAAGTACGTGTATGGCGTACAAGTTTCATCCGCCTCCGGTGGGCACTCGTTGTGACCGCTGAAGTCGATGTCTGATGGGGGCGCGTAAACTTTCTTTTTCCACTGAAAGTTCTTCGGTACGTTGTCTTCAACACGTATTTCTTTCAATAGAGACCTGTCGCCCCCGTCTTCGCCTTTAGTAGAACTCGGCGTGTCACAATTTTCCCGCGGAACATCTTCCTGTGGAATGTTGTCTTCATCGTCGCTTTCACCGATATCAGACACATTCCCGGAAGCAATCTTCTCCAGTAGTCTGTCGGCTGTTTTTTTGGTTGCATGATGCGACTTTGTTTTGTAAAAAGTCGCACAAGGCAAGCCGATTAAACTTGAAAAATAGCAGTGACGTACGTGGTTAGACAGCAATTGGTGTGTGGCCCTCTCTTCTTCCACTATCACGCTTTGTACACAATTGTGACCATGCACTAAATGCTCCGCTGGCAATGCAGTCTTTTCCGTAACGCTGAGTATTTCCAGAAACGCACATGTTCGTGTATAAGACACGGTTACCATATTTTTTTAGTGCCAGATGACTTTTATTAAAAGCAGGAGAAATCATCGAAGGAGCTCACCTGCGGAAACCGTCGCGTGCGCCGCCATGTTGTTTGCTTATGGCCGTAATTCCTTTATTATCCGGCAGATGACCCTAAAAACTTCAGTGTTACCAGACGAGGGACACACAAGTCGACTAATGTTATCGAAAACCTTCATTTTTTTATAGTTTTCTCGTAAAACCGTAAAAATCAAATGTACACAATTGTGTACTTAGCGTCTGAAAGGGCTAGGAAACCTTCAAAATCTTTTCAGTCATGCACATTCTTCACATTGTTTACATGCTCTCTTATCCTATCATTTATGCAACGCCCGGTTTGGCCATCGTACACTTTACCTCACATTAAAGGAATTTTGTACTCTACCCCTTCTGCACAATCAGCAAAGGGCGTCCTGTGTTTTGTGCCACAGACCTATATCATCTTTGCTTCCAGGTCGGTCAATCTGCAGAGCTTAGACAACTTGTTCGGTACTGAAAATATGAGTTCCGCGTCTTACCACTGGGCCACCTTTTTCAAGTTGGACGGCAGCTTGTGCATATAAGGTATCTATGCTACCTTCTGCCAGCACTGTGCGATGGCTTCATAATTTTGTGGGTGGTGGCACACCTTCTTGAGCAGGCTGTCTGCAACTGAAATGTGGAGTGGCTGGAGATGCCCAGCATCTCCAGATGCACAGCCTTGTAGCTTTACGCTCACTGAAGTGGTTATAAGATGGAAAAGAAGAGAAAAGTGAGCCCCGTAACTGTCTGCGTCAGGGTACGACACCTCAACAGTAGCTCACAGGGGATGGGGGTGAGGAGGGATTAAAAAGATAGAATTAAAGGTATATATATAGAGAGAGATGCGCTGAGACAGCAAGCGAGGACATATCAAGGGGATAGGAGAGATAGGAAAGATGGAAACATGGTCACAGGAGTCCGAGGACGGGGCACCACTTGCGAGAGCTCTTGTCGGCGTCAGGAGATGGCGTAGGGCAAGTCCAGTAGGTCAGAGCTACGCTGTTGTCGAAGGTCGGCGTCAGGAGATGACGTAGGGCCAGCCCAGTCGGCCAGAGCTACGCTGACGTCGGAGATCGCAAGGGCACAACCGGTCGGCACGGAATCCAGCGAGAATGCTTCAGAAGTACAGTGTGGGCAAGATTTTTCCATAGCACTCTTGAGGCAGAACGTGGCAAGAGCTCGTTTAACGAGCTTAGAGTGGGTGGACTTGAAAGGTAGTAGTGGTTTGTTAGTATCTGGTTCATAGCACCAGCAGACGCTAACACATGTAAAATGAAACCGGATATCTAAAATCTAGTTTGGCCATTTGCTGGGAGTTCATAGGTTAGGCTAAATGGGCTCATCACACCAAAAACACATCAAGTAGCACTTTGCTTTGTATTTCTAAGTCGTACGATCACAAGTTAAACAATTAGGTAATTGTCAACATATCAGAATATGCTAAAAATATTTTCATTGGTGAGCGAGCCGTTGATCTTACGACTGAAGTAAGCAAGAACTAGGTCTCTAATAACCGAGCGATGCATGAACAAAAGATACGCTTTGCTTCTGCTGGTGTGGGATCCTTTCAAACATTACGTAGGTAGACAGCTAATAAACGCCTAAACATTCTAAGAAACCACCAGCGGAAATCCCCGCAGAGTTTTGGAAAGCAACAGAACTGTGTCAATATAATGCTCAACACACTGAAGGGTTAGTTTATGATGCAAAGAATAAAAAAGATCTTCGATGTCAATCGAAAATCCTGACAGCACATGTCAGTGAAAGTGCCAAAGGCGTCTGAAGCCTGGTTAGATTTAGTCTCAATAAAAGGGTCATCTATCACTAAAAGCTTGAGATTACGCTGATTCAGATTCATAGACAATGGTCCAAAAAGGTATGTCGACCTTGTGAATTTTTGCACTAAAAGACATTTCAAAAATTGTTCTTGCTCTTATCGACCGTGTTCTATCGTGGCCGAGGAAAGACACGGACGCCGAGACCAGACAGGAACAAATGCCTCTTTATTGAAGGAATGCTCTGCTTTTAAAGCCCTTTATTATGACGACGGTCTTATGTCATGGCTCGTTTGATAACTGATATCACACTCTTCCCTTCTTAGTGAAACAACAGTCATTTCAACTTGCTCTTTTCGTGAAGTCTTTTGCAGCATACCGCTCAGGAGGCTTCCGCATGCGGGTGCCTCGTCACGGTAATGCTGACGATGATTCGTTGCCTGTAGGAATAGGCTGCTCAACTTCTGGGGAGCTAAATCCGGTCTTGTTAAGCCCTGCATTCCCTGTTTCTGTACCCTGCATTCCCTGTTTCTGTACCTGATGACGCGTCTAGAGGTGGTTCTGGTGGTAGGACCTGGGGAGTCTGGTCGTCACTGGAATCTCCTTACTCTGATGAGGTTGCCTGAGTTGGATCTTGTCTTCTTGGCCAAGGTTCGCTTGACACGTTGCCTTTCGAAAAGACATCTCGAGAAGACGAATCCTGCAAAAGGCTTCCTGGCACTTTTGATCCTCCTAGGTGGATTCCTCCATCATTCTGCGAACCAGTTGCGGATGCCACATTACTAGGGACTTCGGTCCATACGCTAGTTTTCTTCTGTCGCAAGTGATCCACGTGAGTGAACTGTAGTCGCCCTTGAACCCTAATCATGTACGTGACTGGGCTGATAACCGGGAAGTCATCGAGTGGGGGGTGTTTCTATAAGAAAATAAATTTGTTGAGAAGTTCTTGTACTGTATTCTTCACTCCAGCATGTTGATCGCTCAGAACCTGCTTCAAAAGAGCTTCCTTGGTCGCTCTTACCAGTCTTTCTGCTGCTCCATTAGAAGCGGCATGATAAGGAGGGGTCCTAGTAGGCTTGATACCCCTGTGCCTCAAGAACTCTCCAAAGTCATTCGAAGTAAACTGTGGACCGTTGTCGGTTACAATTTCTTCAGGGTAGCCGTATGAAGTGAATAATGTGTGCAGTTTTTCCAAGGTTCTCGTGGTTGTAGTCGATGGCATGACAAACACTTCAACCCGCTTAGAGTACACGTCTACAAGAACGAGTAGATTTACACCGTCTTTGACAGCGTAGTCGGCGTGAATCCTTTCCCAGACTTTTGTTGGATACCGCCAGGGTTGTAGAGGACCTGTCGACTTTGCTGGACGAATGCTTTGGCAGAATTGACAATTCTGGACGGTTTCTTCTACGTCTTTGTCGAGTGAAGGCCACCACACGTACGACCGTGCAAGCATCTTCATACGACTCATTCCTGGGTGTCTCTTAGGCAGCATTGAGAGAACATGAGCTTGCAAAATTTCTGGCACGATCACCTGATTGCTCCGAGTCAAGCAACCCTGCTCTGCAGACAGGTGATCTCTAAGTATGAAAAATGGTCACAGTTCGTCAGGGTAATGCTGTGGCCATCCTGAAAGGACGTAGCTTAAAACACGTGTTAGAACAGTGTCTCGTTTTGTCTCTCGAGCGACGTCTTTCGCTGTCAGCGGGGTTGCGTCGAAAACGGCTGAACACTCCGGTTCATCGTTTCCAAAACTTGTAGACAGCGGCAGCCGTGATAGCGCGTCAGCGACTGGCATTTTCTTGCCATTCCGGAACTTGAGATTGTACTGATACGCTGTCAACGTCAGTGCCCATCTCTGCATTCGTGCAGCTGCTAATGATGGCAGTGGCTTATCGGGCCCAAGAAGCGGCTGATGGTCGGTGTATAGGCTGAACTTGCGGCCATACAAGTAGCGATAGAATCGTCGCAACCCAAATATGAGTGCGAGGGTTTCTTTTTCCCCTTGAGCATAGTTGCGTTCACTGCTGGTTAATGTGAGTGAAGCGAATGCGATCGGTCGTTCGGTTCCGTCAGGCATTTCGAGGAAAATCACAGCTCCCAAGCCGTAAGCGGAAGAATCGCAACTAAGTCCGATTGGTTTTGTGACGTCGTAGAAGGCTAATACTCCGCTGTTCAAAATCATATCCTTAGTTTCTTCGAATGCCTTGCACTGTTGCGTCCATTCCCACTTGCGGTCTTCTTGAAGAAGCTCATAAAGTGGTGCTACCATAGTTGCCGGATTCCAAAAGAATTTGCCATAGAAGTTTAGAAGACCCAAGTAGACCCTCAGTTCCGTGATGTTACTGGGCTCTGGTGCATCTCGCACTGCTTTTATCTTTTCAGCGGTGGGGTAGATGCCCTCCTCCGAGACCTTGTGCCCGAGGTAAACCACAGAATCGCGAAAAAAATTTGCATTTTTCTTCCTTCAGCGTTATGTTGTGGTCGCTGAGTGCTTTCAGGACTTTTGTGGCAGTTGTGTAGCAGTCTTTTACACTGTGGCCAGTGATGATGACGTTGTCTATATAGCATCCTACGTTAGGAATTCCTTCTAGGACTTTGTCCATCATGGCCTGAAATAAGGCTGGTGCGCTCGCAATTCCAAATGGAAGTCTTTGGAATTCGTATAAGCCTTGATGCATGTTCATCATGAGCAGTGGCTTGGACTCTTCACTGAGAGGCACTTGCTGGTACGCCAAGGATAAGTCCAGCACACAAAATAATTTGCCCCCAGCTAGCATGGAATATAAATCCTCAGGAAGCGGTAGTGGATAGCAATCAGTGTTGAGTACTCGATTGATTGTTACTTTGTAGTCTCCGCAAATTCTGATTCCGCCTCCACGCTTCGAAACTGATACGATGGGAGTCGCCCACTTGCTCGTTGTTTCTTTCTTTTAGATGCCTTGACTCTCTAGTTTTCGAAGTAATTCGCTGACCGCCTCTTTAGTAGCGAAAGGCATAGACCTGGCTTTGCAGAACACAGGCGTAGCATTTGGGTCTACGGCTATTTTGACTTCGAAGTTGCGAACTATTCCCGGTGTCGTACGGAAGACTTCTGGAAATTTTTCTCGCAGAGAATTAACTGACATCCGCGCTTGTGTGACAGCACTGACGGTATTCCAGTCAAGTTGCAACTTTTGAAGCCAATCTCACCCTAGAAGCGTAGGCATAGCCTTGCCCTGGTCCTCTACTATATGTAGCGGAAGCTCTGTTCTGCAGCCGTTATGCTCGACGGTTACGGTCGCCTGTCCTCTCAGCTTTACAGGCTGTCCTGTATAAGTTTTCAACACTGCCTTTGTTAGTTTGCATGCAGTTTGCGAAAACCATTGCTTAAACGTACTTTCAGGCATCAATGTGACAGCTGCACCCGTATCCAAAAGCATAGAAATAGGCTTCCCTTCAATCATCAAAGACACTTTGTAGCCTCGTTTCCCATCTCTAGCACACATCACGACGTGATACGTCTGGGAATCGTCGGATTCCTCGTCTGTCGCTTCAGCGTAGTTCACCGGATGGTTTTTCTTTTCTGACACATTGTTTGCAGATGCCCTGTTTTAGCAAACGCACGGCACTTCGCGTTGCGATACCAGCACTTGTCTGCATCGTGCCCTTTCCCACAGCGATAACAAGTAGTCTTCGTTTGACCCCTTTCGTTCTTATGTGCCGACGGCCTGGTTTTTGTTTGTGTTTTCCTATTGACCGCATTAATATCGGTCAAGCATTCTGCTTTAGAATGTAGCTCCCTGGTTTGCTTGGCAGCAAGTTCTTTTTCAAGTGCAATCTTGCACGCTTTTTCAAAGGTTAGGTTTTCAGTTGCGAACAATATTCTTTGAGTCTCTTGGTCGCGCAGTCCTGCCATGAGTCGATCCCTTAACGCATCGTTTAGAAACGCTGTGAACTCGCAATAACGCGCCAGATGTTTCAATTCTGTCATGAAGACTTTGACGCATTCTCCTTCCTTCTGCATGTGTTTGTTGAACTTGCAACGCTCGGCGATTACAGAATACTGAGGACTGTAGTGTTGTTCTATAACCTCCTGTATTTCTGCGAAGGATTTGTCAGTAGGTCTGTCAGGGACTAAAATTTTCTGGAGCTCCCCGTACACTGCGCTTCCTACTATGTTCAAGAACAGTCTCAGCTTCTTCGTCTCCGGAACCTCATTAAGTACCACAAAGTTCTCAAACCTCTCGAAATACGACTTGATGTCGTCGCTGCTCGGATTAAACTCTGGCATGCTTCCGAAACGTTGCGAAGCTAGTGGAATCGCCATCTTGAAACGCTTGCCTTCTGTGCTAGGGCCAGTCGTCCGTTCCGCTTCAACCGCTGTGCCGGTGCTTGCTTCAGGATCGTACTATCATCCCATCCTCTTCGCCGCGTGTTCTATCGTGGCCGAGGAAAGACACGGACGCCGAGACCAGACAGGAACGAATGCCTCTTTATTGAAGGAATGCTCTGCTTTTAAAGCGCTTTATCGTGACGACGGTCTTACGTCATGGCTTGTGTGATAACCGATATCACAGATCGCCTTAACCAGATCAGAATGGTCAAGCTTCTCACACTTTTTGCAATAGACTTCTGTTTACTCAATGAAACATCGTAGTGGGAATCGACTGTATGAATCGCTTCTCTCGACATTGATTTAAGAATATTTTTGCTCAGTAGAATCATGAAACCACCTCTCTTATCGACCAGGAGGATATCGATGGAGTGGTCACATAGAAAAAAAGCTGCTCGTCTAAAGGGTGGGCCGGGTTTTTAAGTTCTTGCAGCTGTTAAGGAGGTTCCCACTTCCTGTAATGCAACATGCACTCTAGTCGGCAGGGGTTTTATGCGAAATCTTACATACAAAAGAAAGCTGTGCTGGACTCGACTCTCTGAGTGCCACAGCGAACTTCGGTCCAAGGGAAAGAACACAGGCTTGACCAACTGACAAAGTTGCTTCACCGGTGATGTGCACATTGCATTGTGACTTGCATGCGTGGGGTACACGAGGTCCTCAGTCTTCTCAGGACAATATAAATATACCTGCTATTTTATTTCCCAATAAACATTGTTGAAAGTTCAGCGCTTGTTCTCGCAATGTGTGTTCTGTCCATTGTGTCTTTCTGCACTGTAGTGCACCAAAACTTTATTGTTTCACAAGTACGTTCACAAACCAGGACCATCGCCTAAGTGTTTGAGTCTCACCATTTATGTTATGAAGTGTACATAATCATGTCTTTCGAGTGCATAAGTGGTAAAACAAACACCTTTAACTCTCATACGCTCCTCCATCTGTAATGAGCGTATGATAGTTAAACGTGACATCGGCATCTCCAAAGAAATTCCAATGTTCATGTCAGCTAAATAGAACAAAGAAAAGTTTTACACCATCTTTTACTTAATTATTGGTCTGCATTTACTAGTCAGCCTTTTTTTTAGGTATATTGTGTCAGCTCATTATCAATTCACTCCTAGGTGATGTAGTTAACGACTAAAGGACATTCACAGTAATGCCATGAGAGAACTTATGCGATAAAGTTTGTGTGCCTCTCTGTTGCGAGATCGTTTTTATACAAGGTAAGGAGGAAGGAGTGAGTAGAAAGAACTCTGGGCGAAATTTCATAGCTTAAGGAAGCTGCATGTCCGCTATTATGCCTGCATTACCTTAAAATAAAGATGTCTTTTTTTTTTAGCTTTCTGCTAAGTTTTATTGTTGCATCTTACAGTTTCAGTGAATGTTACAGTAATACCTTGTTCTGATTTTTTTCCAAGTTCATCACAGCAGCCCCGTTGGAAAATAAGGGATGACCTTGGCCCATTATGCTGAGATGTTTCTGCAGTGCGAACAAGATTCATTCATATGAATGAGGCAATGAAGAAGCATAGCAAATTTCAACAATGCATAAGCCGCATTCTGCCATGTGGTCTAAAGGGACATGTAACCAACAATACGTTAATTCTTACAAGCTTTTTTCATTTGTTTTTGTTTCAAATATTCTATCAAGCCAATATATGCTTTCAAGCAGGTGCATGGTTCTAGCGCCAACTAGATGAAGGCATGCGAGAAGGCATGCCTGACACAAGAGAGATGGAGACACTTGGACTGCCAAAAGGTGCCAGAAGGAAAACACTTTATTCACATTGAATACACTTTACATATAGCTCACAGTAATAGTGCTCGGGCATCAGAGTGACACGAAAAGTTAATATATTAACTTCTCATGGTCACTAGCTTCAACCTGTAACTATATTGAAGTACCATGTCAAGTGATAACTTGACCACGAGATGAGAAGTGGCTTAGACAGTTATGTGTAAGGAAACTGTATAGAGCAGATAATGGTTCCCACCAGGGAAAACTGTCGGAATGAAGCCTTTTGTTGGTTTTCGCAGTCACAAGTTGATTAATGAAAAGAAAAAAAAAGGTTCAAGAGCAAACCTTTGAACTTCCCGCTGAATCCTCACTACCAAACAGCCTGCATGGCGTCACATAACCAAACGATATTTTTATTTATTTACTTATTTATTTATTCATCTGTGGCCGGTTTCTACAGATCAAAATGTTATGACACCTCAGCAAGGATGAAAAGTTTTGTGACTAATTTTTTTTCTTCCACACATTCAGCTCAGCCAAATAGCCCAGGAGTATGTACGCAGTAATATATTTTTTTTTTCATGCAGAAAAAGCTTGTTTCGTGCATTTATGGCTGGTGCACGGGAATGACAGGCCAATCGAAGTTGCTTAAAAAATTGCGATTTCAGTTTTGGTTTTTTAATTGTGCAAAGCGCCGGCTGCTTCCTGTAGCAGGTGTCAAAGTGCCTTCCTGTTTACCTTTTTGGCTGCAAGGCGTGCGCTAAACGTCCAAGCTTTAGCGCTGTTCTACGTGACATTGTGAGATCTATGTGGATAAATACGTGGCGATCACATTTAGCACCACCCAGAACATCGAGCTTCAATATTTGATGTGCAACACTTCGCCTACTGGTCGTCAGAAGGTGAGCAAAACGCCGCTTCATCATGCACGAACTTGCGCGGTCAACGTGTTAAAATTTCTATTGCTTTCACGGCTACCGCACTCCTTGAATTTTATAAATGACTCTTGGCTGCTTTCAAGTTGCATTAGCGACCAAGGCCTGCGCCTTCAATGCGGAAGAATGTGAGCTGCTCAAACACGGCCTGGAGGGAGCCAGACGACGTACGTTTCTTGTTCTTCGACGCATGTCTCCTCATCTCGATCGGTTCCTGCGAAGTACCGCAAATTTCTGACTGCAATTTCAAAACGATATCGCATGCGTTCGCGTGCAAGATCACCCATTGTCTTTGCCTTTTTGTTTTTGTTTTTGCACAGAAAGAAGAGTGGCCTGTGGTTGCATAAATTGCAGCAAAAGCGAGAGTTGGGGTAGTGGGTTTCGGTTCATTTTGAAATAGCGCAAAGACTAAACACATGAAAGACAGCGCTCGTGTTGGCCAGCTTCTTCCGTCTTTTCGCTGTCTTAAGATGAAGTTGCATGCATGAACTGCCTTGTTGGCTTGTTTTCTGTACCGCACGAAGCCATAAGACTTTCACCACTGTGACCTCCCTCCGGCTGCCGTCGTTACTGTACTGGCCTCAGCCAATACAGTAACCCATAAGCAAGCGAGCTTCTGTTTCCGCCACTTTTAGCACAGTTTTACTGTTGAGACTCTACGGACAGCAGACACAGCGTCTCGAGCAGTCATGAACGTGGTGGTTCAAATAACAGACGCACGTTGGATTTCCTTTATCTCGCAGGTTCATAAATTAGAGCGCACGCATGTGCAACAGGTGGAAAATACGGTGGCATGCTTGTTTATTCACAATGACACTACATGGATCCCAATCAGTTTCTTGGTCCAAAAAATTGTGGGCAATCATTTTAGTGCAATATTCTACCTCTTTCAGTATCATTGCAAAAAAATGTGTTTGCTGTCTTCAGAAGCGGTTTATTGTTGTCATAGTGGGTTTAACCTAGGTTGATTTAAAAAAGAAGCCATCAATACAATACTGCTCGAATTAATGAGAACAGACGCTAATGCCAAATCTAAGGGGATGTTATTTGTTGCAATTATTATACAAGTGTGAAGTGGGCAAAAAGACAACTTGTTGTGACCGATAATTGCTACAGCTAACATTTCCTACACTTTCCTTGCCATTACTTCCTGTGCTCATTAGTATTTTACCTAAAAAAGAAAAACAAGCTCTTAAAATACCCTTCTTTCTTTAATACTGCATGGATTTTTCTGATCTTCTGCTGGTTGCTAGAAAAGAAATGGAGCTTTTTATTCACTTCACTGGCGTGCGCATTTCTGTTACGAAATGCATTTAAGTGAAAGCAAAACACCAAGTCTGCACCCATTCTGACAATTTTTTCAGTTCTACAAGATACACAATAGCATCACACGCCAGGATAGTTGCTAGTAATTGTATCAAAGAAGCATGGATGTCGATGACCAAGTATTTTTAAAGAATAAAGAGTGTAAACGTAAACAATGTGTAAGTCGGGTGTCACACTACTTGCTACAACTGAATGCAAATAGGTGGCAACGTCAAAGTCAAAGTACCAAGTTGCTACACAAACCTTTTCTTCAATTCATTCATGCAGAAGAGGGCATCTGAATAAGTTAGGCGTAAACCCGCAAAGGCTCTTGGGAGGGGCTGTCTGCATCGGCTTCCGGTTCAAGATATCCATGGCGCCCTGTTTCACTGGCCACTTTTTCGGAGCTGTAGACACGTCTTTTCTTTCGATTGGGTTGCAAGGTGATTGCTCACACAATCATGGTTGATTTTCCTCAGTCGACCATGATTGCTCATGATATCATGGTTTATTGTGCAGCTGTCGGTTGCTCGAGTTCGAGCACCAAAGAGAAAAAAGATGTTTAGATTCCCTCGGAATAAAGATAAAATATGGAAGTGGGTTTTGTGGTAATAAGGACAGCCACGGTGAGTGGTATAGCTTTTGGATGCTTAACGTCAGGCGGGTGATAGTTGTTCCAAATCCTGCATGGATGGTTTCGTTTGTCTGACACGTTTGGTATTTACGTACAGGCACTCCAGGCAAAAATTCACGGTAGGTTGACTACGTGCCGTCGACATTTTGGCATGACAAAAGAGGAACTGAGGCATCAAGACGGAAGCACGAAAGGCATTTGAATGTGTAGTTTTTCATCAGCACAACCACAATCACTATATACGCATCTACTACAAGCACAGCGTTTACGCTAAAACGCACGGCCGCCACGTAACGTGCAGCCAGCTCTGACCCTGATACCGAAAAATGCGTGATACAGCAGCCGCACGACATCAGGCCAGCAGTGATGCTGCGGAATCCATGGACACAGCACTTGTCAATGGCATGAACTCCAGCGACGTATATGCAATCAATCAGTGGTTCTGATGGTGACGACCTCGTACCAGTAGGAGAAAATTGTGTCAGTAATGTTATGTAGCCAAGAAAATACTATTCTACTTATAGAACAGTTATGCAATATGTTGCTGGTGATTTCAGGTGTTTTTCCAAGCATTTCTTTTAGTAGTCAGTTTATTCATACCTCATCTAGTGCACATCGAGCAGAACAGGTAACTACGCATAACAAGCACAGCGCCTGAATATGAAGTGAGTGTCGTCTCGACCAGCTTGTTTACCGACACGATGCGATATGTAAACGCCAAACAAGCTTGACTTTGCTAAAAAAGTTGCCGCTGACATATTTAGCTTTTTGAAGCTTTATCAGTGTTGTATTATAGTGAAGGTCATCACGAACGAAGGATTGAATAGTTCATCAGGTCGTTGCCGTTGAACGCGTAGTTTCAGTAATAAAGGATACCCCTTTCACACAATGAACATTGATACAAGCTGCGTTGCAACTACATATGCAAAAGCAGCTGAGCACCCCCAAAGATGGAAACACATAAAAATAAGCACGTTAGTGGGCACCCCGCATTAATATACAAGTGTAAAATAGTTGAAGGACGTGACAGCGAAGTCTACGTCACTTATTATTCCGAAGAAACGCAGAATCGTGATAGCATGTACAGCGTGTTGTTTGCCACTTGAAAATATTTCACGACAGCACATATTTTTTTTCCGTGGTCAGTCGTAGGTGCGGCTATGCTAACGTGCTCTATAAATTCACAGCATACACGTTTGGTTGCTATAAAGAAAGAGAGCACATCGATACGCAAAGAGGGACGCAGCAGACGGCTGGAGGGCCATTAAACCGGAAGCCAGTGCAGACCGCGTGCGTCCCATAAGCCTTTGTGAGTTTACATCTCACCTATAGAACCACCTTCTCCACTCAGTTGCCAACAAGTCAGACCATTAATCTTTTCAAGTGGTCTTGCATAACATTCTATAACATAATATATTAACCACTCTCCTCTGTACAATGTTGGGCATTCAGAGTATAATTTAAATAAACTATTTATGTTTAGGCACTTCGGTGATGGAGTTAAATTAAAATTTCATGCTTGCACTTGTTCGGAGGGGCATACAAAGAAATTTATTAAGCAAAGCTCAATTAGAGTGATTTGTTTCAAGCAAGAAAATTTTTATGTTGAACATCTGCTACGTCCCCAGTTGTGAGTTTCTAAGTACGCTTAGCTGTACCACGTGCTTTTTGGGGCCAAAGGAAAGAAACGGCGATCATGCGTATGGTAAAATCATATGCTCCTTTTTGCATTTCCACAGTTTGACAAGCATTTATCGGCTTTCTGCAGTGCCACCGATTCACCAAGTTTTAAATGGTTGTAATTAAAGTACATAAACCCTGGGGATACACCTTTTATTCTTTTTTTTTCTTTTGTAGTTTGCAGCTCCTCTAAATGTGACTTGCACAGATCATGTCTTGGAGCTGTCTGCTGCTTCAGTTTGTCACACTTGGATCTTCAGCAAAGGTCAACTTTGCTCGGAAGACCACAGCGCCGATTGAGAGCACAGTTTCCGCAGGTTGTCCTTTGGCCACATCCCTTGAAAGCCTTGCGTAACATAAGCATTGTGAATGCGGAGCACATCGCTTTCTCGTCATACTTTACATAGAGAGCCTGCAAAAAAACAGAGCGATAAATACCTAAAATGTCGGTGCCACCTTACAAATAAAAATGCATCACTATCACTACCCAAGACAGTACATTTAAAATTCAAGATGACAGAAGTAAAGCGATTGGGGACAGATTCATTTCCAGAAGTGAAGAAAAACCAGTTAAAAATCAATTTTCACTCCCCCCAAAAAAAGGAATAAAAAATGTTTAACCCTTTTATTGAGAAAAACGTCTGGCGCATGACAAAGACGTGGACAAAAAAGACAACAGGACGATGTGCAGGACAGCACATCGTCCAGCCAAAGTTATTGTCTTTTTTGTACGCCACACGTTTTCATAATGTATCACCACCAACAAGTATAATGTTACATCCTGTCAATTTAACCCTACATAGTTTTTTAAAACCTTTGCAGGGTTAATTTAATCCACCTACCCAGCCTGGTGTTTTCCTGCCAGAAGCAGCTAAAGAGCGTTTTAAATGTGGAGCATTTCTTAGTCGCTTGATGCCTTTCTTCGGCTGCGGCTTGCGTCACGTGCCGGCCCAAGAAGACACCCGCAAAACTGTCGCTCCCCTCACACTGTCCCGCCCTGCAAGGCCGATGCAGGCAGTGCCTGCTAGTAAAAAAAAAAAAACGACTGCTCGCCCTCTGGATCATGCGTTCGGATTTCAGTCAAGTGCATCTTGGCTTTCGCTTGACGTTGAAGGCAACAATTTTCCCTTATTCTATAAAGAATAAGAATAAAGACGAAATAAGAAAGACAAATGGACGTGGGCCGGGCATGTAGCACGTAAGCAGGATAACCGCTGGTCATTAAAGGTAACTGACTAGATTCCCAGAGAAGGCAAACGCACGAAGGGGAGACAGAAAGTTAGTAAAAAGTTCGCAGGTATTACGTGGCAGCAAAAAGCACAAGACCGGGTTGATTTGTGGATCATGGGAGAGACCTTAGCCCAGCAGTGGGAGTAGTCAGGACGGTGATGATGATGAACTATTAAGCATTCCCAAAGCATACCCAATTATGCAACATTCATGTGATATCCCGCCCCCTGTCCCCCTGCCGCTCTGCGATGCATTCACTTGAGTTCTCCCGCTGGGAAGATGCGGGCGGCATTTTTTTCATTCTGTTCCATTAAACGAAATTTGCAGAAGACCTGCTACATTAACTGAATAGCCACAGCTCATATGCACTTTATATAAAGTCGGAGTATAAATGTATGGCACTTTTTCCACTTTATGAGGGTAATATACTTTACAGTATTTCTTTGAAACGCAAAAATAACGATAGTTGTAGCGCAAGAACAGAACGGCAATAAAAAGACAAGGACATGAGCGCTCGTGTCCTTCTTGTCTCTTTGTCGTCGTTCTGTTCTCGTGCTATGACTATCGTTATGTCATACCAACTAGCCCAAACTGCCACACTTCTGAGTTGCAAAAATAGCGTAGCGCGGTTAGCACTGCGTAGATGAAAAAGCCAGCTATGACTCCAGTTTCATTTGTCATTGTTCTAACATTATTTCCCAGAGGATTTACAGGTGTAATTAACTGGAAATATACACAGAAACGGGTAAAGTTGTGGCCCTGAAAAAAAGTTCTCCAAAACACTTTTTAGAAGTTATCTTGTGTGCTGCGGGTATTTACTCAATAACCGAAGATTGGAGAGTGCTTAGTTTATGCTGAAGGCATATTGGCAAAAACGAGCCGAGCCCAAACTTTTCGGGCTTCGGCTGGGTATGGACCATATTAAAAAACCCCAGGCCCTTACCCGGGCCGGCTACGGGCTGTATTTAAAACCCTGGGCCGGGCGGGCGAGCCTGCGCATGAATTTTCCGGGCCGGGCCCGGGCCGGAAAAATAGGCCCACACAGTGCTCTAGTGCTGACGTTTGAATATATGGTTGCAATAGTGAATCTGTCGAGGTGCAACAGCTTCCTTGATTCCACAGAAGAATCATGAATGTCGGCACGTTAGCTTGATTTAAGTACTCTGCTGTGGAAGTGACGCGGAAAAATACTTGCAGATTTATTTACACAATCTCGGGAAACCACAATGAAAAATTTAGCTGAAGTTACCCAAGCGTTATTTTCGGAACACGAGCAATAAGTGTGTAGCTGAGGACTTTTGATGTTGTATCTCCAATAACAACAATAATAAAAGACATAGGTAGCCCGGCAAGCTTCTGCTGATGGCAGTTCTAGCCTAGACAATCCAGGCGGCCTTCAAGCCAAGCAGGAATCATGGCGTAGACCGGTATTAGTAAAGTTGTGGTTCAAAAGTCAGATATGCTGTGTGTATGTAGAAGCAACAGACATCAAAAGAGTGGATGTACCAACATGGAAGCTAAGGTTTATCCAATGTGAAGGACAAGTTGCCGAGCAAAAATTTTCTTATTCTTGTTTATGCACAAGGCTGCCACAATTGTGACAGCCTGTACATTAGTGAAACTGATTATTTCAAGGAACAAGTTAAACAACACACATATGACCCCACGAAACAATGTTTGGCCTCGATTGCCTTTTCTGAACACGCGAAATCTACAGACCACTAAATAGATTTGTGAAATTCGTTTATTCTGGACAAATAAAAAACTTGCATCTTCCCGAGGGGGGGGGGGGGGGAACTCGAGTAAAAGCGTCACGGAATGGTGGGGGCATCGCGTGATTGTTGCGTACTTAGGTAAGGTTTGGGAATGCTTAATTGTAATTTCTTCTTTATTTCCATATTTTTTTAATCATAGAGAAGCATCGACTTCAACGAGTACTGGGACACTGTTGGGTTGTGCCCCACTACTGGTTGAATGCACTGTTGCTTCCATCACATCTACTCGAGTCAAGCAAAGTGTCAAGTCAAGCGAAAGCCAAGTAAAGACGTCCTTGACTGAATTCCGAACGCCCGATCCAGTGTCTACATATACAGAGTGGTCAGTGAACGGCTGTGCTGCGCGAGCAGTCAATTTTTACTAGCAGACACTGCTTGTTACGGTCTTGCGAGGCGAAAGAGTGGGGATAGCGACAGTTGGCACGAGACGCGAGCATGCGCAGCAAGGGTGTAGACACAGCCACCGGATTTACGAGTAGGTTCAACTATAATATGCTCCGCACTTAAAAGCAGCTTACATCATGCCTGCACCTCGAATCCAGATACAGACGACTGTACATACACTGGAAAGGAGAGATGAGGTGCTTCTGACAATGTACTCTCGCTGCTTACGTCACGTATCTAGGCGTATTTAAGTACGCTGTGCAGTTCTTATGGCTTTTGTTGTCAATAAGTTTCCCTCCCATATCAGGTACTGAAACGTCAGTAAACTTTGTGTTCTATGGTCAGTGTATCCTTTCGTGTTTACACTCAGAAGCAAGAGTTGTGCCCTGTTTTTTTTAATGCAGAGTATTTCTTATCCGCACCATGTCACTCATCGTCGGCGTCCACACCCCCACTGCACATGCTCGGATCGTCTCCTGTGCACCTCCCTCTCTCCCCTTTCATCCCCCTCTTTCGCTTGACTTCACACTTTTGCTTGACTCGAGTAAATGTGATGGAAGCAACAGATGGCAACAGTACCTTCAACCAGTACTGGGGCACAGCCCAACATCATCGTCCCACCACTCGTTCAAGGCAACGTTACCCACCCTCACTGTCTTCAGCGTCAACAACAGCAAGCAACGCAGAAGACAAGGTTGCGAAGAGACGAGCATACGGCGCTGAACGCAAGCATTTGAAGCGAGCTGCAGATCCTTCATTCGGGGAACAGGAAGCAGCTGCAAAACGGCAATGCTGAGCTGCGAATTCCGAACTTCATGCACGAGAAGCAGCGGCGAAACGTGAACACCGAGCTTTAAGACCAGAGGTACGTGAGCAAAAAGCGGCGTGCAAACGTCGTCAACGAGAGACGGCTCCGGAAGCTACTCGTGAACACGTGCATGTTGCGAAAAGAGCGGGGCGAGTTAAGCAGTTTGCGCAGCCGGTCACTCGTTTCGAACGAGACTTCGAAGATCACAGCTTTGGCCACAGCTGTAAGGTGTGCTACTGACTGCACTTCGACAATGACCTTACGCTGGTCGGGAGCATCACGAACAAAGCGAAGCAGACCAACGTGCTTTGGGTTCTTTGGAGCACGTTTGACAACGTCGACTTGAAGGGCGTCGTCGTCAAAGCCAACGTTAACAGCGACAAAGATAACGACAAGAGACTGCTGGAGCTGTTCAAGTCGTACTTGGGGTGCGCATCGCGTAAGGACTCGGTACGTGGGCACGTACCATCGATGAGCGTGACCTACGGTTACCGTTACCTTTCTCAACCCGCACACCAACCCGAAATAAACGCTACCCGGTGAGTCCCAAACCCTACCCAATTACGCAGCATTCGCAACTGGTGATTTCAAGAAAAAAGGTTAAACAACATACATATGACTCCACGAAACGATGTGTGGCCTCGACTGCCCTCTCTGAACACGCGGAATCTACAGACCACCAAATAGGTGAAACTCGTGTGTTCTGGACGAAGAAAAAACTTGCATCTTCCCACGAGGGGGGTGGACTCGAGTAAAGGTGTCACGAAATGGTGTGGGTATCATGTGATTGTTGCGTAATTAGGTAAGGTTTGGGAATGCTTAATTGTCATTTTGTTTTTATTATCCGTATATATTGAATCAAAGAGGGAGTTGTCTATTTACACAATCTCAGAAAGCCACAATGAAAAGTTTAGCTGAAGTTACCCATGTGTTATCCTTGAAACACGAGCAATAAGTATAGCTGAGGACGTATGCTATTGCATCACCAATAATAATAACAATAACATTAATTATAAAATATCAACATTAATAATATTAAAAGACGTAGGGAGTCCGGAAAGCTTCTGCTGATACCTCCCCCCCCCACTCTGCGACGCATATACCCCCCCGTTGGGAAGCTGCGGGCAGCTTTTTTTTTTTTCACCCTCTAGCAGCTATCTCGCACGTAGACTATATCCACTCCCTCATTCAAAACTTAATAGGCCACAGGCCCTT